ATTTGCCACGTTATCAATACTACCTCGTTCAAGCATCCTTGTGTCAACTGACACATATTGATCGAAGTAGGAATTAGACAAAGACGGTTTCATCACATTTGAACCCATGACAATTGCATCTGCATACTATTGCACCTATAGAATTTTGTTGTTTTACGGATATTTGAACTCATACTCTCCCTAACCCGTGGGTTTTAGCACCCGCATATAGATTGAACCCGCTGATATACACATGGGTTCAAATGTACAGTCACCGACAAGGAGAGCCTGCAGTTCAATACACAATATTACTTCCCGTGTCTGCTAAAGAATAACCACAAATTACTAAAACTCTACAAAAATATTTGCCATCTGGCATTGATATAAATTATGAAGAATAAAAGTATAGTTATGACCTGATTTCATTGCCTTCTTGTGTATTTAACAAGCAACTAACTGCCGACTTTTCTTTGTTCGGAATTCCTATCACAAAAAATCCCTCATCAAATATTTCAATTCTCCTGGGTTCAATTTATCAATCATTTGAGGTTTTGTAAACACTTATTATTTGACTTTTTACATATTTTCATTCACACAGCATTCCATTGAATTCTCTTGAGAGAAATCTACATGTCATGCCTAATTACAATAGCGGAAAAATACCCACGTTTTACAAAATTTTATGAACAGTGAGATATATTTTATTTTTACTTTTTCATTTACCGTAAAATGACATTCAGGCTTTCGTGCTAAATTTCTCTTTCTGATGTTCACCAAGAAACACACCCAGCCTGGCGGGTGGCGGATCCTGCTAAGCAAAAAGAATAAATACGCTTAGGGTGGTATACATAACCGGTCAGGTTACAGCTTCCTTCGCCATAAAATTCGTACATTTGAAAGGAATAACTGGCTAAATAATCTTCTACGACATGGAGTGGTGATAGTGCGACAAGACGTGGTTCGCCATATGATTAGGCCGTCTTATCGGCTTTCCCTTTTCCCGGGCTAAATATGAATGTCATATCTTGAGAAAGGATACTCGAATGTGATTTTTAAATCATGTACTATTTTTATTCAAATCAAATCGTCTATTTAAATTCTTAGACGAAGTCTTATCTGTGCGACATGTTATTGGTGAAACTATGAATCGATAAACATGCAGTAAGTAGAGCAACAGTAATAATAGACTACATAGATACGTTGTTCATCTTAAAACTTACCTAATTTTACCAAATATTCAATTCTCAAGAACTGTTTTGGTCTCCTCTGGCAGGGGCATAGCCAGGGATTTTCGAGGCGGTTCTGATATTTGTAATTGCCAAGTTAAACCGAAACAGCTCGCCGGTCCAGCCGGGAAAATGTGGGTTTTCAGAATACTTGAGAGATTGAAAAGAGTTTCAAGCTGCTAAAGCTGGTTCTTTATTGCATTTCAAAAGAGGGCCGCAAAGCCACACCCATGGGTACGCCCCTAATAAAACACCAATAATTTAGAATTCTGATTTACACGGGGTATACTATTATTTTTGTTGCTAATTCAGCGTGGGCTCTATCATTACATGTCGCCTCATAATTTTCAATAATCTTTTTAAGTTATCCCTAGGTAGGATTAGGAAAATTAAGTGTTCATGCCTTGAGATATATCTTACGCTATAGTAATGTAGACCTCACGATAAAGCAGTATCTATTTTTTTATTCCTCTTAGAAAAATTTAATGTGAACTTCTCTATGTCATTGCTCAATTAACTTCATTTGGCAGAGAGTGCCTTTGTCTTTGCATCCGTGCGACCTTGCAAATTGGTAAGCTAATCCTTAGCATAAGCGACCCTCAACCAACAAAGAGAACCAATAAAGAAAAACAAAGGAAATTTTATAGGCGTAACTAATTAGAGAACTAATAAACAAACTTAGCGGTGGTGGAATACCAGTTAATTAAGATAAAGTTACGCTTACATATATTTATGTTATTAAAAAAAGCGTTCTAAAAAGCAGGTACTGTCGGATGGTTCAATCTATTCCGGTTGGTTTACAACTGTACAGTATAGAAATTCCCCTTATTTTACCAATTTTATCACTACAAAGCCTACCCAAAATGACGCATCGATATCCCAGCGGGAATCCGCATTAGGACCGTGGTGACGGGTCATGATGGCTTCAGTACAAATAGGTCACTCTTCGCGTCAGAAATGGCATTCGCGAGGACGATAAACAAAGAGGGTAGACTAACATTTTTAATAAACATAGATATATTATTAATTCTTGTTATAAGGATATTATAAGAAAGAGAGGATGGATAATTGTCTAAGTGCAAATATGTAGATATGTGCAAGTAAATTATATAGCGAGTAGTAAATTTACATCTTCTTGTCAAACAAGCTAATTAACCCTAAGTCAAACTACAGAGTTTGCGGATTACAATCCAAATTTTCATAGCTGTGTTGTTATGGCGTTGTTTACCCCTGATTTGTCTTTGCATATGAACGCTCATGGCTATGCGTTTGCGTTAGAGGGTATTATTTTGGAAAAGTTATGTCACACCTTGAAATTGACAACTGCTATATTAAGGAGAATTTGTACCTGCGAACGTATAATACAAAAGTTGTCAACATCTCATTGTTTTCTGTCTGACAGTCTTTCGTTTGGCAATTTTTTTTCATTTTCCATTTGATAATTGTGGTTTTGAGTACACGATGGAAGGCAGAGGAAACATCACCATGAACTTGATATAAAGGTTAGCGAGTATATTATTTGAATGAGAGGCAATTTGTTCGTGCGAAAACCATTTTCGCGATCTACTGATGTTAAGCCTAATTCTTTTCAAACTTGGATAAGATTCGGTAAAAATTTGTAGATTAGATTGGTGATGTAAACATAACTGACTTACTAATTTCATACCCGACATGGGCGACTTTCTTATAAGCAACTGGTTGAAGTAATCATACGGAAGCATTAAAAATTAAGTTTAATCAACAATTCATTTCGTGAAAATTTCTCTTTCCGCCAACTCATCAAACATCCGACAGACGTTTACCGAACTCGACTTGCTTTATTTATCATTTTTTGTTTCTTTGAATTAGATTCCCATTTTTAATAGTATTATAGTATCACGTGAAAGAACTGTAAGACTCTCGATATTCATGGTTGTCAGAGCAAATCTGCTGGCATTTTTATAACGTTCTATTGAGGCATTTCAAATTAGCGTTGTGGGTAAAAAAAAGTTCATTCTTTGTTTGAATCATGAACTTAGTAAATATTGAACTTCATGAATCATTCTCAAATACAGCAAATTGATTCGGTTCACTTTTAATGTTTTAAATCATCTGCAGTTAATCAAGCAAAGTGCATTAGGGGAACGTATAAATTTCAATGTTTAAAATACCAAACTTCATAAATATATAGGAAAAGTTGTTGCAGACGGGTGCTGAAGCATAATGTAAATTAACAACGGAAATTCATCAATTTTTCAAGAACAACAACAGGAACGCCATGGAACGATTGTTATTCTCCGTTTTAAAAATACTCCGTAAATTAAATATAATTTCAAGATGACTGTTATCAAAAATCTTTTGCCTTATAATCAGAGATATTCGCTCAACACTTGATAGCTGAGTTCGATTACATTGAAATTTACACATAGACTAATTCAAATACTTGCTGAGAGTATTAGTTTTCTGCTTTCCCAAATACTTATTCTGTGCTTACAAAAACTTGGAATTTACATGCCATATATATTCAATGACTCTCGTAAGTTACACTTGTCTATATACTTACTTATAAATTCCACTGAAATATTTGGTTTTTAGCATACCTCGAACAAGACCCGTGTTTCCACCGTGAATAATTTATGCCTTTAGACGGTAATATTTACAATCTTTCTCGAAGCGTTCAAGCACGAAACGCACGTATTTTGTTGAGTGGCACGTGCAATATTTTCTTGAAATATCGCCATTGTGCTGGTACGGCCTCGGTAATAAATCTTATAAGAAATAAATTTTCAAACTTGACTGAGCATAGATACTCTGATATTTTTCAATTCAATGTTTTGATGTTACTAAACTTTTTTCTAATAAACAGGCCATTAAACCCAGGGTGCATCTTACAAAAGCTTTGTTAAGCGCTGAATCTTGTTTATTTGCGACACAAAAGCCTCGAAAAACTTTTCAAAACATCTATAAATATTATGTCGAATGATACGAAATTTTACTTTATTTCCAGAAGTAATAATTTCTGTGCTGTAACTGTATTTTATTTTTAATATCCAATGCATTTTCATTTCCAAACTTAGAGCTGAAAAATTCTGCGTCTATAATTTACCCTTATTTCTTAAAATTATATAAATGCAAAATTGTACCTAGCTTGGACAAAATTAATCTATTACAAAAATTCTTGAAGCCATAATAGTCCTATTTTAGTTTCTAATTGATTTGTATTCACAAAATTACAGTTAATTTAACCTCTTTAAAAAAATCATCTATTTCCATACAAATCGCCTAAAAATAAATGAGTGTAAAATAAAACATGTGTATACCTAGCTCAAATGAAATATAATTGTTTCTCTACTTGCTGGCATATTTTGTTCATGAGAGTAGATAATTTCCATCAAAAATTCCTGAGGGTTTTTCAATGCGTATAGTTTTAGCGTATGTGCGCTCAAGAAACGGGAATACATTCAAGCATTGAAAATCATAAATTTTAAAGCCAATATTTCAAAACCGAGAACGAATCTAATTCTAGTTTGAACTCTTACTTCCCATCTGATGTTTTTCCGATTATCGAGAACTCGCAATTTGTTTTTGTTCTTTGAAAAACCTCTTTATCCCAGACCACAATAATCATCCCTTTTTAGTTTAGTAGACTAATTATTTCTGCGCGGAAAGTCGGGTTTGACATTTCAAATCGATTTCCGTGATGTAAAATACATTTTTGGAATTCTGGCATTGATTTTTAGGAAAACAGGTTAGACTGTTTGTTCAATTAGTAAATTATTTATTCATTTCAAATAAACTTATTTTTTCAAAGACTGTTTGAAGTAACGGTGAATTTGTGACAAGGCCAAGTCTCCACTCTGAGCTTAAAGCCTCAATTATGAACAGAAAGCATCGGGAATTCCCTAACCGATCAGTTTTCTAACTTTAACTGGTATGCGAACTTTTAAATATTTGTAGAAATCCACGTAATAATTTTATCAATTTCATTTTTATATATTATGACCTGCATTTGAAATTTTCCTTCCAATTTAAATTATTATATTCAGGGCTTTCTGAATTGACATTTATTCTAACAACGCTTCCACGTCGGGTCACTGAAAATTTTTACTGAATCATCAAATGTATAAAGAAAAATAGAAATAAATAAACACACTTACACTCTTGTAAACTCAGATATATAAACCGTACGAATAACATTTCATTGTCGTTTTTATATTTCCATCATTTCGGCTATTAGTAGTCAGTACGAGTATGTTTTAAACAATAAATGAGAAAGAACTTTTCGTCCATTTTAACCGAAATGAGGCTAATATGGTACCTTGCGCCAAGAATGTTGGGTATATCATAACAGTTTTATAATTTTTTACTTACAGATATATAATAGTTAAGTATTATCAGTATTCACAGTTGATAGTGGATTCACCAACATGCTATCTGTTCTGTTTATCTTGGTTCTGATGACCGGAACGTCTATGGCAGTAGACGGTAAGTTAAATTTTATTATATGAATGTACAATTGTATATCAGAACTGCTTTCTTTGGGGCAGAATCAAACAGAACTGTTTGACTTTTCAGATATTTACAAAAAAACACCCTTTTCTTTCTAAATAAATTTTATTAGCCAAGCACTAACTCATTGTCTTGTTATGGTTATGAAGCATTCGAAGACATTTCGGTCTGATTTTAGAACTGTTGTTCAACCTCACGTTCATATTTTACTTGTACCTAAAATATTGAATTCCATCCTTTAAACTTATATTTAAATACAGTGAACTCCAAAAAGATTTGCTTTAATAATATATCTTTTCGATTTGGCTCGTAAAGAGAGCAAAACTCCCTATAGAATCATTCATAAGCAACACATTGCAAAATATTATGAGTCCGAAGCGAATTCGTGTTCTTTTTATTCACTATAGATATTAAAGTGGCACATGGGACATGTTACCCTCATTTTTTCATGCCGATGCAAAATAATAGTAATTCTAATAACTTCGATGGTAGCATTTTTCAATACTAAGTTTAGCTTGTTTTTTATTTTTTTCCGCTCTGGATGTCAGCAATTCTAAATATTTATTAAATTGGGTTCAATACGTGATGAATATATTACTGATGGTAAGTTTTATTTGTACTAGGATAGTTTTTTTTAACAACCACCCAGAATTCTTAAATATTTAGCATTTGCACTGATACCATTATAAATCTATTTCCATTTTTTTTTTATAACTTGAAATACTCGTTTCCATTCTTAGCATCTGCCATTTCTTATATATTTCTTCCAAGAAGTGATATCGTATGTTAAGAACGAAATAACCACAAACATACGTCTAATTCAATTCCGTCTTCAATTCATCGCTTGAAATATCTGACTGACTTTCCCACACCTTGGTTTTACTCCCAAGAGCATCGTAATTCTTATATAGAACAGATTGTCACGTACACTTATATTATTTTAATCGCTCCCTGATGGATTCTTTTGGAATCTATCAGTATTCAGAGAGATTTGTTGAAATATTAAAAATTTGAAATATTGCATCGTCACAGAGTTATGAGAACGGATTGTTTACCGTGTGAATAACTGAAAATCAGCATAAACATTCAGACTAAGACCCACTCTTTGTGCTATTTGGGATAATTGTTTTGACCAAGGTGCTTTAACCCACGTTGTAAATTGTTCTAAATACAAAAGTAGCAAAGTTTTCCACATTACATGCGCTGAAATAATACCACACATTAATCTTCCATGCAGTATTCGAGCATAATAAAAATGGTAAGTCTAAAACAATGAGAGGCTTGGACAGGCCTGCGTCTACGAATAATTTGTGAATTTTTTCTTCCTGGCTTTGAAAATTAAAGCTTTAACTTCAGTACTCAAATGTTTGTATTCAAATCCGACTTCGAGTTAACTCAAGAGCATACATTGAGTTTAAATTCGGAATAAAACTTGTCAATTACTGGCTTAATCGCGCATGTCGGTGCTCGATAACCAGTATTTGTTCCCTCGCCTCCCTTCAACATAAATGCCATTATTACTTTTACTGCATTTTGTGTGCAGAGAGTGCATTTTACGTATTGTGGAAAAATTAACTACTGATTACATTTAAAATCACATAATTCATCATTTTTAAAGCATGAGTGTAATGCACTTTTGTTGAGAAATAAATATACGCTAATTCAAAAAGGGCTCAAAAACAGAAATACTATGAGGCACATTTATCTTTATTGCCATTACTAATCCACGATTAAGCCAATTTAAATCTTCAGTCTAGAGTTGGCCAATTGGCCAATTTTACCATTTCCATAACGTTCCAACTAATCACATGGGACTTACGAACAAATCGTCTCGCTCGTTTTAAATTTTGATTGACAACGAAACTCAGCAATTACATGAGAAGTAGGGAAAAAACAATGATGAAATTTCACGGAATAGCGATTTCATGTATTATTAAAGAGCGGATTAAGCGATTTCGTTCTGCGATATATTGATTCAAGTCTGCAGTATCTGATTACGTGGATTCTGCTTAAATAGTTTAGTAATTTCAAGAATTTTCATCTCACTCGAGGTAAAGATGTAGGCGCAATTATTTATAGAGTGAGTACCTCATACGCTGCAATCATAATTATTCATCAACAAAATATAAGCCAGAGGTAAAAAAAAAAAAATTGTAGAGAATCACCCACAAAACCGATGCAATTTCCACAAATTGAAGATAAATAATAAATGTTTTATTTCATTCAAATAGTATTACTGAATTAGATATTACTCATTTTATGTTTACATTGTTACACTAAAACACTGCTCTGAAAACTGTAATAATGTATTCCAGCGACAAAAAGTGCCTGAGAAATATTAACTGAATAGAGTACGTCTGAAAAATTCAACTGGTAATCCCTTTTTATATCATTTCTATTAGTAAAACAGTTCGATTCCCAAATTGAGTTCCGATAAAATCGAAAATATACATTTGCCTCTGTTGATTATGGAAAAGTTCTATTATGGTTCAGATCAACAGAAATAGTTGGAACCTCGAGTTTTATTTATGCTTTATTTACAACGTCGATGAAAAATTGATGATTATTTGGACAAAATTTAAGCAGAGTAACCGTCTTGTTCATTTGTTATTGGACTATTTTTAAAATTATATTTGTATAACAATAAAGATATAGAATGACCATTTTTTTTCTGATTTTACCGAAATATGGATGAATATGCGCCGTTGAATAAACTTTATTATCACTAAGAACTTTTCTACGCAAAATATATTAATATATTATCTTTACGTTTGGTTTTTCATTTCTCTTCTGCCTATTAGAAAGAAACCGTGCTTATTCAGCAAAATTCAGCACTTCAGCACCTCGGAAGCAAATTATTATGTATTTTTGGTAGTTCTACCATGCAATTCCAGAAAACAATACTGAAAGTTTTAAAACTTAATTTTGTGACTGAGTTAATTTAATTCACATTGATTTCAGTGAATGACTCATCATTTGGGAGTAGTAATATAGTCGCAACATTACATTTGCTAGTAGGTCTAGCCACAGCAGAATCATTATACAAGCATTAAGAGAACATAACATTTTAAAAGTTGATAAAACTAATCTACTTCGATGACATCATCTCAACATTACTTTTTGACTGCGCGATAGCCTAGCGGCGAAAACGTTAAAATTAACTTTGTTGGCATCGCAGTTTATATACCTCACCTCGGGTACAAGCCCCATGCTCCCCACGTCACCCATGGTTGTGATAATTTGGGTAGACAATGCTCAACTGGAGAGATATCTTGTCTTTAAAATAACTGTTGTCCCCTACATATCGTGCGACATCAGTGACAGCGTGTGCAAATCCTTGTTCCTAGAAAAAGGTGCGAGTAAACGTTGTATAAAAAAAGTCAAACTATACGCAATATCTTCATGAAATGTTGGTAAATTTTCAGATTGTGAAGTGACTGAAGAAAATACAAATACGTTTAAAGTTTACTACGGATGGCCATTTACTTATAGATGTGTGAATATATTCACTGATATCAATTATGATTATGATTTGGAAAATTATGGCGATTACACGGTGAGCATCCTATTACAATATTGCATACAGATTTTTATTTTTTAGGAAGTGATGTATTTTCAAATTTAAGGATTAATAGATATTTTTCTATTAGCGATAAACTATTCGACCTTATATAAATGTGTCACGCATTTGACCAATCATCAGCGCTGGTATATAAGCTACTTTGTGTATAATCAAAAACAATTAATTTGAGTTAAAAGGTAAAGTGTGGTGTCACATTTTAAAATTATGTTGGTGTGTTTGAAAGTTTAGAGGAGAGTTTAGGGACTGACTAAGTGTCTTGCGAGAATCATTACGAAAGGATCAGAACTACCAAAGTATTTTATTGTTTTGAAATGTAAAACGCTCATATTGGGTCCCATATGACGCCTATACTGTTGCCAAATCACAGAGCATTGTCAAATTTCTTTTATATCTTCTACAATGTCTAACCTGTCCAAATTTCAGCTATGCGGATAAATAGAACATATACCCTACAACATTTTTATCTATTATTTCAACATTTTGATGCTAAAATATTATTTCTTATTTTAGTGTGTCATTACTGAAGTGGAGTCTGGTAAAGTATTATGGAAAACAGCATTCACTGGTTCTCTCTATGATGACACTTTTGAGGGCGAAGTTGATTTTACATTTGATAGTATTGATCAAACCACGCCAACAGAATACAGGACAAATCTGCAGGTAAACTAGAAGAACAAATCATATAAAATAATATGTTAAGGAACCTGGTCTACAGGTAAACTAAAGAACGAAAATAACACGTTACCAAATCAGAATTTTTTACCACGACCTGAATTTTCAAGTTTATATTAGTTTGTTTTAGAAAATATTTCATAGACTTTTTCAGAAGCAAATACAAAAGAGTACTTGTCACTACTTTTTGTCAAAAAGAGTCATTCCAGTTATCAAATTTATTTCAGTGAATCTTTCATAAACTGATGAAAAGCAGCAATATCTACAGTTGTTGCTATACATCATATAAGCCAGATTTGCGTCAGTTTTACCATAACTGGATGGTAAGGCAAGTTGATCGCAGTTTAGTGCTATAGCACAGTATGGATCAGAATTCGTTGCAGGAAAGTGACTGTCTTGGTGTTTAGAGTCCGTTTAGCTTCGTTTCCGTGGCCAGAAAGCGTTTGCCCCAGTATTGGGAATTTATCCAAGTACTATTGGGGGTGGGAGCACTGCCTTCCCCTGGATCTTACGATCATGGTATTCTTAGAGTTCATGCTAATGTAATATGACCATAAAAAAATTGTTCACTTTAATATTTATATAACACTAAATAAATTAAGAATTTTTTATAATTATCAATTTAAATCTTAATTCTTTTCAATACTTTTGTATGTACTTTGTTATCGGTTGCTGTTTATTTTTTCAAGAATCTACTATTATACTTCATTGTTTAATTCAGAATGCTTCATCTTGTTGGATCGAACATTTTACCCTTGAACCATTAGAACTGCCGATAGAAACTTGCGAAGAAAATCTGAGTTATAATTTCACTCATAATTTCGATAAATCGGTTGGATCGACGTTCAACTGTCTCTGTGATGGTAAGTGTAACTTATTAAAGTCTTCTTCTTCTTCTTCTTCTTCTTCTTCTTCTTCTTCTTCTCTTGGAATAAACAAAAAATCAATACTTGATGCCAGTTATTCTTTATTAAATTGTTGAAGCAGAAATACTTAATATATACATATGTATTTTTTATGAGTAGAAAAAAAATGAAACTAGGTAACAACAAGGGATCATGTACATACTGTGATTTTGAATGCAACCATGCTACAAGTGCCTGAGCCATGAGTCGAAATTTAGTCAAGTACGGTAACTGGCACCTTTCAGTGTTCAATCGAGACATCGCGTTCCCTATTACATTGTCCCAAGTCAAATCGAGTGGCTTCTGTTTAAATTCATAAATCGAGTCATAAATGATTTTATACACAATGATAAAATGGATAACCAGCTTTCGTTCCTCACAGTTTCCCTTCCTCGGTTGAAATGTATGATTATCTTTTTTTCTTCCTATTTTGGGTAAAACTGACTTTTTATGTATTGAAAAAAATAAAACTGAATTGATAAATATCAGTTACACTGACTCTAATGACTTGGAATCATATTGCGCCAAACCAGACATTTTTCTGAAATTAAACTAAAATTTGATCATGTGTCGACAACTTTTATCTTATAGCATCAACACGACCTCTCTTAATATATTATTTTAAAAAACTATCGACTTTTTGATTTTTGTCAGCTCAATATCAATTGGTGTGACGGAAATTTCTTAGCAATTTTAAAGATTCTTTGAAACTTATCATCATTTTTTAAGTCAAGCGATTCTCTTCGTCAATTTATGAAGTCCGACAGAAGCCGGGTCAATGACTCGAGTATTTTTACCTACTATAACTATTGATGACAGAACACAGTTAAACATAAGTCATGCAGAAGGTAACGCATGTCGTTTGACGTATAAATCCCTCAAACAAACCCACGAATTTTCAAAGGTCAGATGAATAACTGGTTCAGATTTGCTTGACTTTTCTAATTAACAATACGTTATTTATTTAAGTTCCGCGAGATTCTAATGCACCTATGGAGTTGGTGAATGACGATACTGTAAGTCAAAATGGAGGAACACGAATCTACTGGCTTTATAATTGTGGAAAGGAGCTTCCAGACAATGCTGCTATGAACTACGACAAAACTTCACTGGTGAGTTGATGAATAGCCATCGTCAAATATTATGGAAAATTTCTTTCAACTCAGAACAAACAACCAAAGTCTCGAGCAAGCTACGAAAAAAGGAGGATTTACTAAATATATCTTAATTTTTCATTTAAATTCTGTCCGTCTAAATCTAGTTAACGTTTGAGTCACAAAATTGAAAATAAACAGCTTTTGTAAATATAAGACTGATGCCCGAAACGTCAACTTTTCCTGTGAAATTCTAAAAAATAAATGAGGTTTAGTAATTTTTTTTCTTTTTTCTTGAACTGTAATTTAATTTAATTATTATTGTCTTGATTTGCTGAGAGATTTGGCACTTACTGCTCTCCATATACTGGTTTATTATTTATATGAACGTAATTATTTATTTTATAGATTTTAACAAATATTTCATACCAAGCCAATCCGGGAGTTTATACTTGCGTTGTCGAACACAATAATATGAAAAGATACAGAATTCATCGCAAGATATGCGTAAGAGGTATGTATTCGTTTCGTAACCAAAGAGAATCCCAGTTCGGAAAAAACTTTGATGTTTTCGATAGGAAATACTAGAATATTACTTTGCAGTTTCACTCACATTATCTAGTTTTTATCAAGTATTATTTATAATAAATATTTGTGTATTGTAATACATGTGTATTACGCACATTATTATAAACCATTGAAACCAAACAAATATTATATTTTATTCTAATTGTAATGGAAGCAGTCGAAGTTACTTAAAGTCTTGGCAATAAAACAAAATACCAAGGGTTTGATCTTTAGTGAAAAAACTGTTTACAATGACAGTATTCTTCTTCGCAGGATGAATATGAAAATACTATCATATTAAATTGAACATCTTCGGAAATATTTACTTTCATATTTTTATATATATAATACATTTTTGTGTGTTGTAATAAAAGGGGAATACACACATTGTAAAGTTATATACTAACTAATTATAAAGTGTTAGTTGCATTAAAAACTGACTAAGCTTTTGAAAATGAACAAATACCAGAAACAGAATTTGTATGCATAGTGGAGAGAGGGATGAAAAGTTTCAAAATAAGCAAAAAGGGACATTATCAAAAAAGACAGAAAACCACTGCCTTATGTGCTATCAAAATAAACATAAAATAACGAGGATAATTTATTAAATCTGAATCTTAATTCAGAAAAAATATCTCGACCCGTCACAATATCATGTGATGGTGGGAGAGCAGTAATTGGTGAAGACATCGAAATCGTTTGCCACGTTGATGCGGGAGTCGGACAAGACACGAGTATTGCATTCTATGGGAGATTCAATAAGGTCAGTATTTTTGTATTGCAGAGGTATAGTTTGTATAGTCCTGAGTAGCGTATTCCCAACAACTCTGTTCTCTCTGTGGATGTGTTAATAGGTCCCTAAGTACTGTCTGCATGAGAGTAGGTATGTATGATACAAAAACAAATACAAATGCTTTTTTTACATTTTAATAGGGAGTGGGTGTCAGAACTCCTAACATTTTCGTAGTTTGAAACGCTTTTTAGACCCTCAAGACTCTTGAAACCTCATGTTTTCCGGTTGGACACGCTAGATATTACGGTCTAACTTGGCTATTATAAATTTCAGAACCTGGCTGCGTTCCTGATACTATAGATATAAGATACTGTATAATCAAAACTGCTATATACAGTGGTTTACCGACCTCGCATCACTGTTTCACAAATTTTATTATGTGATTTGTCTCACATAAGTTAGACTTAGTCAAGCAATTTTTATCAATCATTGGAAACTGCTGTGGAAAATTTCTGATAATGAATGCCCGATATTTGAGCCATGAATTCTATTGCTATTTTTATCCCCAATTTTATTTTATTTTTATAGTTGAATGTGACCGGAGAGATCGATTACACTAAAAAGAATTCGTCATGCGTATCGTTTGCCAACAGAGGTTCACACAGTTCAGAAGATAAAAGATTCTCATGTGTGCTGTGAGTTTTTTAATGTATCATTCGAAAAAAATACATATATACTCTTAGGTATAAATAACATAACGCTACTCAAGTAGCTGAAAACTTAGTCTTAAATGTATATTTGAAATTTTCACTTCCATCCTTCTGATAGATTACAGTTGAGGTTCGCAAATCTCGACAATACAACTGTTCTAATCTTTCCAAACACCCTAAAAAGTATTAATAAAATACAAATTATTATCTATATTTGGGGTGGAAAAGTAAAAGCAATATTCTATAATAAATTATGCGAAAATTCTTACACTTACAGAGTTTCCCAAAGACTTCTCTGTTCACTAATTCTTCTGGCATACTTTTACAGTACAGTTAATTGTAAGAATCTGCGATAACGATATCAATTAAACCAAATTAAAATTAAATTATATTAAATCAGGTATATACCGTACCAAGTAGAACAATATTGCCATAAATTGTAAGACAAAACACAATTAAATAGCTAACTGCAGAAATATGAAATTTGTATCAATTTGCAGGAACATTGACGGCGAAGGGAAAAGAAAATGCTTTTATCGACCCCCATCTGATGAAGAGATAAAACAACAACGAACTTCACTCACGATGCGCTATAAAATAAAGTACGTCAAGTTTCTAAATCTTTTATTCGTTCAACAACGAAATTCGTTCAAATAAAGAATTTTACGAATTTTTAATGCGTCGAATTCATGCGACACCGTGAGGGATCGGGGTGATAGAGTAGTGACAGTAGCGACTCCGAGTTTAAAAAGTTTTAACCCAAAACGGTTCCATCTGGGACTCATTTTCTTCTGTTTAATTTTTGGATACTTTATTTAGTGAATACTTTTGCATACATTCCGTTTGAATTTGTATGAAATGAAAATTACGAATCTTCAGTTGTATTCATGCTAATTATTTTTTGTCAATATAAAAGTTTGTACCTTATATTTATATTGTTGCAAATGGCAAAAATGTGGTACTCGTAGTAAGACGTTGTGATATGGAATATTTTAAGGAACTACTTTTATTTACTTTAAAATGGATAACATCATTTTGCAAATATATAAGTTTGCGAGTTCCTATTTCCTGTGCAGAGTCCTATAACAAATTTAAGTGGTCATTTTCTTTCTGCATGAAGATACAGATTGTTGTTATAGCTACACCATGGCTTTATATTGTCTCATGCTTAAAAGTTTGTCGTAATATTGCATTAATTCTACTCTTCTTTTTTACTACAGGAATGTCCAACTGTCGGATTTTGGAACATATCGTGCACAAATCAATCGTAATAACTTGGCTCAAATCTTCAATTTTACTATTTCACACAACAAAGAAAGATTTCTTGCAAAACATAACTTTACTTTAATAGTTTGCATCTCAGTAGTCTGTGGATTTGGTCTTTTCTTTGTTATGCTCTGCGCATTGTGCGGTGTGGAATTGAGATGGTTCTGGTTCAAGTTGTGTGCTGCACAAGAAAAAGGTGAGTATGAAAATTGCTCACTCAAAATTGAATTCTGAAAATCAAATAAAATTTTGAATTTGTGCCATTTTTGGGATATAGCGAAAACACACTTTTCTATTTTGTCAACGCACATAAATTTAATATTCATAGCAAGTCATATAAATATACATATCAAATATACGCATTTCCGTCACTTCAAAATGAAATACTCAAATGACGCGAAGTGGACATTTGTGCGCAAATGACATGCTTGGATCAGCCAGCTTAGGCAATAAACTATTCTTTTTATATTTATCTTCTATTAACTAATGGGCACTATTAACTGTAACCTAATCTCACACTCGTTCATGATAACTTCACTGTATATGTTTTGTACGAGTGTCAAAAAACAATGTGATTATGTGAGTCCGTTTTGTCTCTAATCGATTTATTTTTATAATATAAATTAGAAGCTTACCCCGTTTTTTATTATTTTCAAATTTATAATGTGGCCATTAATTATGATTCAACCACTAGAACACTTTTTATTTTAGATTCTGACTACTGAGTTTATTAGCTAAATATAAACCAAAATGTTGAAGTTTTAAAACTTTTTTACAAAGGGAATGAATATTGACAAATACTTTTTTTATTCTAGTTTATGACTGAGTCTAATATTGCAAACAAGCTAATTGCAGCAGAAACATGGGGATAATCTAATTGTCTCTCGCGAACAAAAGCGTTCACTTGTTTACTATACTTAGAACTTGAGCTTATTAATTATGTATATACTAAATTAAAAATTTCAGTTTAAATTCTTGGAAGTTTACAGTGTAACTTATGTGAATAAATAACCCTTTCTATTCTCCCCTGAATATTAACTCTGTCTGCTTATTTTTGAGAGTATTTACTCGAAGTAAATCATTCGCTCAGAAATTTAACATAATGATTCCTGACAAAAGCGACTGGCGACCAAATGCCAAAAGCTACTGTAAACAGACTTGTATTATTCTACTTAATCTTGAATCCGCCCTCCATTTCCTTCAAAAAAAAATACCAAAATCTATATTTTGCAGAGATTAAAAAGTATTCATCATATCTTGCGTACTACTACAGTAGAGACACATCACAAAACCAGTCGCCACAACTTGAAGCATTTATAATGAATCTTTCAACTAGATTGCAGCGAATTGGTGGACCCGTATTTGACAGATGTAGAGAACCAAGCACAGAGCAATGTAAATAAATGGATATATTGCGATGCAGTATTAGGAATTCAATATTTGCATTAAAAACGACACTTTTGCTAACTGAATTAGATTAGGACTACCATTCGCAATTTTTCTATTTGTATTTTGCAAATTGTATTTGCAGAAATATTAATTCTCATATTATTCAAATAGTACTCCTAATCAGAAAAATTAAATTAGTTAAGTTTTTGATTAAATTAAATTTTTACACATAAATACTTGCATCAAATGCAATTTGGAGTTTTGTACAAACTATAAATCACAAAAAATATTACTTAAATTTATTTCAGAACACATTCGTGTACCTCCTATGAAAACTCCTTGTATTTCAGATAAAGCTGAAAGTATATACGCAGAACTAGGTCAATGCCATCGTGTCATTATTATACTTACTCCAGAATACATCAACGACCAATGGAGTGTGTATGAAGCGTATGAGGTAACTCAACTAAACTTCGGTATATGTAGCGTTGAAATTTCTACTTCCCTTTGATTTAACCTGTTTACTATTTCATTATTAACTTTACAACAATAACTCCATTGATGTAATTTGAATATATGGACTTGCAAAGTGCACGTGTATGTAAGAAAAACCCTATATTGATATCACGTTTGACCGTATTGAATACTGCTTCAACTTTTTGAAAGCTTTAACGTTTGGATTTAAAGCCCTTTATAAAGATATATTGATTGTATAGGTACAGTTAATTGCTGTTTACTTTTTCACGCTTGAAATAGATAAAATCAAATGTTGTACTTATATCCGAATATTTAAATTGATTTATATTCTCTTTGACAAATATATTTATTTTTTATGCAGGCATGGAAAAACGTTATTGAAAACGGAATTAAAATTATGTTCATAACGTTCCCAAATACAAATTCTGCAATCTCAAATCTTCCTGACCAGTCAAGAACCGCATTGAAGAAAGCTTTGCAGGTTAGATCGATGTAATAATCAGTATATATAAATGTTTGATTGATGTTGAACTTGCATGAATACCTGCTCGACTGCACCATAACAATTACCAGCGCTGGGATTTAAAATTTAAATGCGGGTTCTCTTTTGTGTCCGACTCATTGACAACAGTTTTTTTTTTTCTATCAGAAAAAATTCACGCACACTCAAAAATAAATTTTCTTGATTCGAATTAACAAAAGTGATCTAAAGCGGAAATGTAACTGCTGAATGTGAGGGAGTTTACAAAAATAAAATGCGACCAAATGATCTACTACATTCCAGAGACATCAAGTGATTCACTGGACCGGAATTCTGCCCTTCACCAAGAGAATGAGAATGCAACTGGAAATGTTCATGCCGAAGCTACCACAAGCGGACGCCATGGAGCTGAAAGTTTCAAGGCTTGATGACGATGACCAGCTGTTGACTTCCAAGCAAAATGGTTAGTAAACCTTCGGTATATAGGAAATATTTCGTTTAAAAGACGTTTGAATCCTTTGTCAAAACGATCTTTATAGTATGTCAGTTGTTCACAAATTGTTAAATTTGCCGAGTATCCCTTTTGGACCTTACTAATTCAGCATCATGTTTTATAAATTGCATCTAATTAAGTGAAATAATTTAATTATATTAGCTAATTGGGCATTTTAACTGAATCGTTTTTCAGGTCACAGTATATCTACGCAGCAGAAGGATACCAATGGAAACGTCTATCACAGTTCTCTCAATATATAACAAGATAAAAATACCGTATGGGTACTCCAGAGGTCGAGGAAAACATGGTAGTACTCGGGCCAAAAATGAATGCACGATACTAAATAGAGAGAAGTATGGAACAATGCATTGCACCACTTCATAAGCAATTCAAGTCCATTTACCTGGAACGAATGAACAGTTCGCTATTTCGACATTCATCCTAGACTGACAAGCAATGGTAGCTAACCATATGGATTTAACTGTTTACTTAGTTTTCTCATCTACAGTCCAGAATACCAAAATAACAATTCGGTAAATTATCAATGGAATGTATTGTTATTGATACATGAAATGAAGCCAATCGCCTAAGCCATCCTGCACGCAACAAACAAGTTAAATAAAACAAAAAAGCAAGCACGATAAAATCTATTTTTCTTGCCCTTTTCTCACGTTTCGAGTCAATTGAAAAACAGCTGTGTATTTTCAAAACATTGCGCTCAATAGCAGAATATTACCGCCTAAATTTTTCGGGATTCAAATTTCTCACGATAAACATCAATCCAATTGAACCAATAAATCAGCAAAAAGATTCCAAGAAAAGCGTGGTTTTTACCTGATTGTTGTCTGAAGTATATCACATTTATAATTCGCATTTGCACTTTCAAAAACTTTTAACAATTTTTAATTTCTGTTAAAGTTTAAAATAAAAATTGCCGTAAATTTTATTAAATAATATGGAGAGATAGTAAGTTTTTCTCAATATCCTTTAATAAAATTTAGGGTAATTGGTAAATTTGGTTTATAATTATCTGCACTGATCGTTTTAGTATTTACATAATGAACGTTTTTAATCTAATCATATCTGATTCCTTTTAATGCCATATTCTTCAAATTTATTTTAAACCACCTAATCAAAATAATACATGTGCATCAAATAAAGATACACCTCATCAAAGCTATATTTTTAAAGAACTGTAATAGTTCAAATATATTCTTAAACTTGAAATAACGTTGTTGCGGTTCACAATATGTCAGATTTCATTTTCAATTCATTGATTTTTTTTTTTCATGATGTTTTAATTTGGCATTTTCGCAATGTGATTGAACTTCGTGCTTTTTGCTATTGCTAAATTACTTTCTCGTTTTTTTCTTTTTTTTGTAATAAACAAACAAAGAGTGAAAAACATCATACAATTTTTATTTATTCACAGTTTGGTTCGTCACATTTTAGGGTGTTTGCTTTTTGACTGCTGTATAAGACGTAAGTGTTCGTTCAATATTTGCTTTGAGATTGAAGGATTTAAAATTAATAAATAAATGAAAACAATAAAATTTTGGAATGATCAATATGCCAAAATTTGATTGAATAAAGGCAAAATATAATATTGAATATACCGTCAGTATGATTGGGGTATATGTAAACGGTGAATTGAAAGACACGGGTTACTTTGTAAATAAATCTTTCCATAACAAAAGCAGTTCAACAAACGGTTCTCGATTACAATAAACGGGGTGGAATTCCCAATAGTCGTATCCTGTCAATAAATCATGTCAAAATGAAAGTGACTGTATCTGAGGCCTGACTTCGTGACATAAACTAAGTCGTTAATTTTGAATTTGATGTTTATTCGATTTGCCTGAATCACGGTTTAAATAAAATTGATGTCAATATCAACCCAACAAAATCACAAGCACCAGTGACAGATTGAATACTTCTGGAAAATGAAAATTGATAAATTCTAAGTAATCGTCGTCAGCCATTAGTTGTACGGCTCATTAACGCATTCCAAGTATACACGGCCTGAAAACATCGATATTTAAACAGAAATTACTAGCTCCTGTCATTGGAATCCAGCTTGAAAAACGAATATTAATTTAACTTGACTGCAATTCCAGTATGAAGACAAATTGGTACGAATTATTAAAATTCATATAAGCAGATCACGTTAAATTAATTTAAAAACAAGCAGACAAATGCAAACAAACTATTCAAATTCAGTTGCAACATGTAGAGAGAAATAATAAAACATTTCTTTCGATATTTAATTAAAACGATTCGAGGAATAACTCAACTATGTATGTATGATTCTTATTGAATTCGCCTTGGGAGTTGAAATTAATAAATCGATTCGAATTTATTTCACTTCGGTCGTATTTATATGAGCATTTCCGTGAACATTTGTTCTTTGTCTAGTACTCCTATAGTATGTGTGAGGGTGAGGAAATAATGTTATTCCAATTTTCATTATTTTAGATCTGTTACGAGTTCGGGGACTGTCTGTGTTAGACAAGTGCAAATATCCCCTGTTTATAAGTTTCAGTTCCTTTACACAACTTGATGTAAAATAGCCAAACAAAATAAGTTACCTTCATATTGGTACACATACTTCTAGAGCGCCATTTGCCCTCATATAGCAAAGCGGTAAATGTTGTAACTAATATATTTGTTACAAAATTCAATGTTTCATTACATATTTTACGAATAATCATATTTTGGAGATCAGAACTTTTAACTTAAAATGTTCGGAATAAATAAACTTTTTATTTAGTATTTATAAAAATAGCCTATAACTTATAAATGGGAATTTACTTGTTGCATCTTTGATAACGACGAATATATCCGCAGCCTATTGGAAATAGTTAGAATTTAAATTAGAAACAGGGTAAAACCCCATTTATAACATAGTCACACGTTTTCCGCAACAAATACAAAACTTTGGAGTTTTTGATGAGCTATTTTAAATTGTAATCCCTTTTTCAATGTCTCCACGATCACCTGATTGAATAAACAAATCCTATTATTTGTATTCGAGGGAATTTCCTATCGACGTAAATGTACCTTTGCACGCGAAATTAAAATTTTCCCAAATGAAACAAAAATTCGTTTTAAATAACATGATGTAACACGATTAAAAAATGTGTAATTATAACTTGTATTTGGGTTAGAACACAGCTGAAGAATAAATTGGTCTTAAACGTGAAAACCAAATATAGAAATATATAGATAGAATGGATCTAATCATGAAATTTTACCGCTGCTGGGTTAATTATGCCGTCGCAAATGTTATCTGTAAAAACAGATATACCTATATAATTCAGTCAAAATAGCCGGCTTTTTTTCATTGTGATAGGTAAAATTCCGCTCCACCTTTGATTCAGACATACTCGACCTGGCCTTTTGTTAATTTCGCCCCGCTTGAGCGGCTTTTTATACGGGCTATATTTATAAAAATGAACTGTATGGAAGGAATTATCTTATACTGCATAAGGTGGATAAATATGGCACACTTATATACAGCCAGGTAACTGCGATTTTATTTACAGAGGCTTTTACAGGCAGAGATAAAGAGTTTGTGGGCAACTAGAGACGTAGTGTTAGGATTACTTAGTTGAACGTTACAATTAGTAATATTCAAAAGTAAATTACATTACGCAATTCAATTGTCCTGCTGCACACATACACAAATATGTAAAAAAGACATGGTCACCAACACAATGTGTTATTGTGCAATGGGGGACTCTTGAATTCAGTAGTAAATGATATCGTTACAAATATCATGGATTCATTCTAAAATTTGGCGTGTGCCATCGTGCACTAATTGCGCTTCTCCCACAAGAGAAGTGACGAGAGTGATGCGTATTTTCTTCTTTTATGTATACCGGGCTTTTCAACACCCTTATTGAAATAATTGCAAACTTTGTTGCATCTACTATTTATATACTGGTGCAATAAGTCTAACATTAGTATACAGCGTTCGCGTAATAAATGTGTGTATTGAAGAGAACTAAAAGTTGTTCACGATTCCATAGCTCACTTCATTGTTTAGCATCAGAATGTTGTACCTTTACATACTATGTCGAAACATAAGCAATGTGATAAAGTTTGGCTGTATGGCATACATGCATGAACAAAAAAGTACAGCAAAGGTCGGTGTTGTATACATATTTCATTTTTCAGCTGAATAAATAATCGTCACGCCACAATTCTGACGCGTTATAAAACTTTTATTTGAATTAATATACTCTATTATACCGTTATTTATCTTTTTGCGGTGGCATGGTAGTTCGCTTTCCTAAAAGTAATGAAATTTCATATCTAGCAAGCCATCTTATTGCAAATTGTAAATTTCTGAAAGCGGTTCCTGACCTCATTTCACTAGGCCTCATTTCACTAGGCTTCACTAGGATTCGAGGAATAACTCAACTATGTATGTATGATTCTTATTGAATTCGCCTTGGGAGTTGAAATTAATAAATCGATTCGAATTTATTTCACTTCGGTCGTATTTATATGAGCATTTCCGTGAACATTTGTTCTTTGTCTAGTACTCCTATAGTATGTGTGAGGGTGAGGAAATAATGTTATTCCAATTTTCATTATTTAGATCTGTTACGAGTTCGGGGACTGTCTGTGTTAGACAAGTGCAAATATCCCCTGTTTATAAGTTTCAGTTCCTTTACACAACTTGATGTAAAATAGCCAAACAAAATAAGTTACCTTCATATTGGTACACATACTTCTAGAGCGCCATTTGCCCTCATATAGCAAAGCGGTAAATGTTGTAACTAATATATTTGTTACAAAATTCAATGTTTCATTACATATTTTACGAATAATCATATTTTGGAGATCAGAACTTTTAACTTAAAATGTTCGGAATAAATAAACTTTTTATTTAGTATTTATAAAAATAGCCTATAACTTATAAATGGGAATTTACTTGTTGCATCTTTGATAACGACGAATATATCCGCAGCCTATTGGAAATAGTTAGAATTTAAATTAGAAACAGGGTAAAACCCCATTTATAACATAGTCACACGTTTTCCGCAACAAATACAAAACTTTGGAGTTTTTGATGAGCTATTTTAAATTGTAATCCCTTTTTCAATGTCTCCACGATCACCTGATTGAATAAACAAATCCTATTATTTGTATTCGAGGGAATTTCCTATCGACGTAAATGTACCTTTGCACGCGAAATTAAAATTTTCCCAAATGAAACAAAAATTCGTTTTAAATAACATGATGTAACACGATTAAAAAATGTGTAATTATAACTTGTATTTGGGTTAGAACACAGCTGAAGAATAAATTGGTCTTAAACGTGAAAACCAAATATAGAAATATATAGATAGAATGGATCTAATCATGAAATTTTACCGCTGCTGGGTTAATTATGCCGTCGCAAATGTTATCTGTAAAAACAGATATACCTATATAATTCAGTCAAAATAGCCGGCTTTTTTTCATTGTGATAGGTAAAATTCCGCTCCACCTTTGATTCAGACATACTCGACCTGGCCTTTTGTTAATTTCGCCCCGCTTGAGCGGCTTTTTATAGGGCTATATTTATAAAAATGAACTGTATGGAAGGAATTATCTTATACTGCATAAGGTGGATAAATATGGCACACTTATATACAGCCAGGTAACTGCGATTTTATTTACAGAGGCTTTTACAGGCAGAGATAAAGAGTTTGTGGGCAACTAGAGACGTAGTGTTAGGATTACTTAGTTGAACGTTACAATTAGTAATATTCAAAAGTAAATTACATTACGCAATTCAATTGTCCTGCTGCACACATACACAAATATGTAAAAAAGACATGGTCACCAACACAATGTGTTATTGTGCAATGGGGGACTCTTGAATTCAGTAGTAAATGATATCGTTACAAATATCATGGATTCATTCTAAAATTTGGCGTGTGCCATCGTGCACTAATTGCGCTTCTCCCACAAGAGAAGTGACGAGAGTGATGCGTATTTTCTTCTTTTATGTATACCGGGCTTTTCAACACCCTTATTGAAATAATTGCAAACTTTGTTGCATCTACTATTTATATACTGGTGCAATAAGTCTAACATTAGTATACAGCGTTCGCGTAATAAATGTGTGTATTGAAGAGAACTAAAAGTTGTTCACGATTCCATAGCTCACTTCATTGTTTAGCATCAGAATGTTGTACCTTTACATACTATGTCGAAACATAAGCAATGTGATAAAGTTTGGCTGTATGGCATACATGCATGAACAAAAAAGTACAGCAAAGGTCGGTGTTGTATACATATTTCATTTTTCAGCTGAATAAATAATCGTCACGCCACAATTCTGACGCGTTATAAAACTTTTATTTGAATTAATATACTCTATTATACCGTTATTTATCTTTTTGCGGTGGCATGGTAGTTCGCTTTCCTAAAAGTAATGAAATTTCATATCTAGCAAGCCATCTTATTGCAAATTGTAAATTTCTGAAAGCGGTTCCTGACCTCATTTCACTAGGCTGTCTCGATGTCATATGTCACCGTT